CCCAATCTGTTCTTGTGAGTAGCAGGCTCCTCATCAAGGCATCAGAGACATCACCACTGAACCAAGCATTACTCTGGGCACTGTTGCGGAACCAAAGATTAGTATCTTCATTCCCACAGAGATTCTGAGAGGGTTAGTTGCTTTATTTATGAATCCTCTATTCTCACTGAGTTCCAACCCAGCCACTAACCTAATCTCTTATCCTCAGAGGTTCCTGTACCTACTGCTGTTTGGGTTCTCGCTTTATTAATATTAATAAAATAGTTAAGTGAAAAAGATTATTTTTGATTATATATTGGATCCTCAGTCTGGTTCTTTACACATCCATCCATTGTAGTAACTTAGTAACTTAATGCAAATTGACAGAAAAGCACATTTGCATAAAACATTTTTTTGCTTTGCTCTATTTGTGTATTTACCTCTCCTAAAACCATTCTGCTCACTCGACCTAATTTGGCAAGGCTCAAAACATGTCCTTCACATCAGTAACCTCTGATTTACGCCTGAATACACCTTTACATAGGGATAACAGGTATATCCATGAACACGCCTATCCAGTCGCTGGCAACTCCTGTGGCCACCTCCATTATGATTTTATAATTTGACAATTCTACTATCTATTTTAACATTTAATAAATACTGAATATATATTTAAGAAATAACACCAATATATTTAATATAGTAACATTAAATATGTTGTGTTTAATATGGGTATATTTAATCAAATCAATATACTGACATTAAAGATGGTAAAAAAAAAAAGAAATCTATATTCATGTGCTTTTGAGAAACTTTTTATCATTTATGTGTCCCTTCAAGTCATCCAAAGATCCGTTATGAAATTTTACAGGTAAAGAAATGCTCAATGCAACTAATACATACAATGCAGAACTATAAATTATTTATTCAGACAGTATAGATGTATACACGCTGGAGAGACTATGTTTCTCGGCTGGCCTGGGAACGCCTTGGGGTTCCTCCTGAGGGACTAGAAGAAGTGGCTGGGGAGAGGGAAGTCTGGGCCTCCCGTCTTAAGCTGCTGCCCCCGCGACCCGACCCCGGATAAGCGGAGGAAGATGGATGGATGGATGGATAGATGTATAATTCTGTGTAGATAGTAATTAGCAAGTGCTTAGTTTCCTGTTGGTAGATTGTAATTACTCTACAGTAGATCGACCCTGGACTACTTTTGGTGCTTATGACTTTGAAAAAATTGTAAAAATCTATTCTGTTTTTAAGATAATGAAAGCCTTCAAATGAAGCCCTAAATGTACAGAAAGACCTCAGTCTTTTCTACTTCAGCAAAACTGCAGCATTTCAATATGATTGTTTATTTGCCTTTCTAGACAAGCAGATATAACAAGTAGATTTGGGTGATTACAAATTGGGTTATCTGCTGCAGTACCCAGCCTGCAATGGATTGCTCTGCACAAATATTTTCTCAGAAAACTTCATTCATATCATTCTTTGAAAACTCTTTATCAAATGCCTTTACTGTTGACAATTTAATTCTATTTTTGAGTGGATCTATCACCTAGGATCCTCTCCAAAGAGCTGATGTTGCAATTTGTGGAAATATCAAAACAATATTATTTTTGTCAGGTGCTGTATGCACTGGAAAGTCATTGCTGCAGTTGACAGAATTTTACACCCTATAGTGTCAACAAAAATACTAAGCTTGCAAATTAACTTATAACTGATGCTGAACAGTAAAATTTGCCATTACTGTGTTCATATTGATCGTTGTTTAAAGTTAAAGATAAGACACCCAGTCAAATTTAAAAAAATATTTATATCCCTCAAATTTCAAGTTGAAGAAGATCAGGAAGGTTAATTTAACATACCGTAAATTATTATAACCTCCTCTGCTGTTTTAGTTTTTCTCACCAACTCAGCTCAGTGAAGAGAGGTCTAAAGTGAAATCCGATTCAGAGAAATGGCTTCACTAATATGCCATGCTGCCCATCTAATGTATCAAAATTAAGTAGAAAAAATAAACTATAAAAAGTTATCAGCTTATATCACAAACTGTGCCAGGAAGATAAGTGAGCCTCACAGAGATCCATATCTCTGTTGAGCTCCAATTAAAAGAAAACTACAACAGCTGTACTGTGTTGCCTTGACATAGTAATGTCTTATGATGCGTTCAGACCAGACCTCGTTTCCACGGTGAGTGCAGTGGATTCATATAGGATTCCTATATGCGGTCAGATTCACTGCTCTGCTCTCTGCTCATGCTACTGGGCGGAACTGAGGTGTTGTCAAACAGCTGCACCACATGGTGATCGCTGAACTTTACTGTAAAATCGCAAAATGGCAATACAATCAGGAACTGGCTGTATTCGAATCTGTGCCACTTAAGATGGAAAATAGAGAAAATAATGTTAAAAAAGATCAAAATAAGGAATGATCTCCAGAGGTTTTCAGGTGCCTTAAAAAGAAGCTGTTTTAATGTGGCCCTAGAAGCACTGATCATCGTCCTCACTTACCTCCAGCACAGAGCCTTGTCTGTCAGTGCCCACTGTCCTGCATTGGTCCTTTCTGTGTGTGGAGGTTTACAAGGACGTACTGCCGAATCCGACCATTATCCAGACACAGCTCTGGATGAAACAATGTGGACTCATTTTTACAGACCTATTTGGGTTTTCCCAAAATTCTCCAGATTCTCCAAAAAGTCTCCATAAGGCAATTCAAAAGTTGTTCATAGAGAACAATTAAACAGCAGTCCATTATGTTAAGTTTCCCCTGTGGTTTTATTGTGAAAATGCCAACAGCAACACCTTGACAGGAAATGCCAGGGGTAAAGGCAGGTCCAAAGTGAAGGGTCTGGGAGGCTGGTGATTTACTAAATGTTGAACAATCATTCCAGCCCCTAAATAAGGTGAACATGCCCACTTTCATATTCAATACCAGCACAGGAATACCATGTGACGTTATGCCATGACTTTATATCAGGAAACAAGCGCAGCACTAATGTCTACTGGAATAGCAATGTCATCGGCCGAAATTAAATAATTAAAAATGATTCCATCTTAAAAAACAAATCAGGACAAATGATAGTTTTACCTGCGCAAATGAAATGGCATTAAAAAAAATTAAATAAGCCAGATAATTCTGATTAATATCAAAGCCTAAAGGGGGGATATTTGACATCTGGGTGACCTAAAAAACAAAACTATAGTATCTGAAACAACGGTAGCACACATGAACTTTTTTTACTTATGTGTTTTTAATTTTTTACAAATGACCATACCATATGCACCAACCTGCACTAAAGAATCAATAACCATTCAGTCTATTTGCTGAGATTTTTTTCACGTCAGTGGGGTGTCGGCTTCATGCAGCCGAGCTCCTCCTATTTGATGACACGGACCAGGGTGTTGTCACGGCTCCATCCAGTCTGTGTGTTTGTTTTTGTGTTTGTCTCCCTTCCACCAACAGGAGGCGCCTGGTTCTGGTCCGCCTCCTCACACACCTGCTGACGGTTACCTCGTTAACGGAGTGCTCCTAAGCTGCTGATTGCCACTACCTCTACGCCAGAGTGTTTGCCAGTTTTTGGTACTCTAGCCAAGCTGAGTTTTTTGCTGAGTAAGACTGAGTTCTTATCTACCTGAGTTTTAACCTTGTTTTTGTCTTTGCCTCTCGGCAGGAAGTCATCCTGCAAACTGGACCTTTTCGGACCTCCACTCCCAGGAGGGATCAACTGAGCCTCAAACTGAGCCAGGGATTCAAACATGAGGTTTGGATCCAGTCTCCTTGAGAGGACGTTGAAATTACTCTCTGTGCAAGGGAATCATCTTCACTATGACCCGTTCAAGTATAGCAGGAAATCTGAGTGGCAATCAGCGTCTCCATTCACCTACATCGTCCAAGTTTTCTGTAAACCCTGTTCCGCCCTCCACCGAATCAGACAAACTCTGGAAAACAACACACAGATTGGAGTAAAAGATCCTTCACTTCTCTGGAAACATGACTCAACAACCAGATCCTCTTCTTCTAATCAACAAATGAAATTTCCCACTGAGCCTGAACCAATAGTCTGTCTTCTCCTCACCTTCCAGTTCCGGCTGAGCAGAGTTCAGAGAAACACGGCACCTTGCTTAATCTCTTCAATAAAACCTGTTAAACTTTTCATCTGTGTTTCTCTGTTTGGACTTCTGCATTTTGGGTCAGACCTTTAATTACATCATGACAGGTGTAAACACTGTGTATCTGAATTGCAAAGCGGTGAACTACCTGTGGTCACCACGGACACGGCCTGAACACACCATTAAAAACAAAAAAAATAAATCCAGACAAAACAAAACTGATGCTATATTTGGAGCAGAGACAGGTTAAACTGGCCAGGTTTCTGTTTATCACTTTTAGAAACAGCCCTATAAATAAATGAAGGGTGTTTAACTTCTCACAAAAAAAACTTCCAGTGGGTAGAAATGTTACGACAAACACATTTGCTCCAAACCTAGCACATCCCTTTATTATCACTAAGTGTAATGATAATGTTCAGTAACATTTATTTTTTCTAATACAGTATTAACTAGGTCTCACTTTACACATCTTTGAGAAGTTCTTTGTCTCTTTAAACTCCTTATTACAATATTTTTCTCCCTCTTTTTGATTTGCTTCAGAATAAGCCAGTTATGATCAAAAAACCCTGCTTTTGTTTGTAGTATTTTGTCTTTTTTTCATTGTGGCCATACTATTCCATCCAGACTGGCAGTTTTATCTAGGCCTTATAATTCAAAGTTACGAAACACAAATATTTGTGCACCACACAGTCCTATATAAAATTACTTTTTCAGATTGCCTTGCAAATGTATGAAAGCATAAATCTTGTAAGCATTTTTGCCTCTTAAGATAAAACAGCCAGTAAGTTGTAGTCTTCTTATGAAGACAAGGTTCTTATCAGGAAACAAAAACAGAGACATTTGTGAGTCAGCTTAAGTTTATTATCAGTATTAGATTATAATAATTAACAAAGAGTATATTAAAGGCCTGAATCCACTCTCTTTATCCACACCTGACAGGGAACCTATTTGGAAAGATTAAAGACTGTTATACTGCAACTCGGTGGCATAGTTTAGCCTGTTATCGCTGGGAGTTAACAGAGCACAGCTGAAATGTTTTAAAGCTGATGCATGCTAAGACTGAGATTACTGGGATCATGCTTTAGCAAACAAAACAGAGTATTATCTTGTACAAAGATTACCTCAAAGCTATTATAGGTTAAAAATAACAGATGGGAAGTTGCAGAGGGCAGGAAATAGGAGTACAACATTGCCATCTAACAAAACAAAACATCAAAAACATGTTTGTCATAGTTCTGTGTCCTTTTCCATTTCCCATTTGGTCTCACTATTAGGCTCTAAATTCCTTCTGACATTTTTTAGTAGAACTGACCTTTGGTCTTAGTCATAGCCATTGTTGTATCAGGATTATTAGACTGAACAGAGCCATTTTGCTGCTGGTCAGAAATATAACTCCCTATTGTATAATCTAAAACATTAGTGCTCTCTAGCCTGTGTGGGCTTGGCTTCTGATGGGCTGAAATATTGGATGACCGCTGTTGATAGGTAGGACTTCAAGGATCCCTTGCAGGATTGTGCTCCTTTTCTCTGTGTTGATCAGAGCCTTCATTGCTTTCTTTACAGCCTTCGTTTCCATCTTTCAGCCTGCTGTCAAACAGCTGGCACTGTCTCATTTGGCTTAATCTGGCTTGGAGCTCATTGAGGCGCTGTGATGTATAACACCTCTTCAACTCCAACAGGATCGTTCCATTTCGACTCAGACTTTGCATGTTTGTTGATGTCTCCCTCTGCAGATATAGATAATTCATATATATATATATATATATATATATGCATACTAATGTCTGCTTCTATGTTATGCGTCAAGGCTGACTAGGAGCAAATTAACATAACCATGACAGAGGGATTTGTTTAAAAGATTGATACCATTCATGGCATTACAAGAAAGCAATATGCTTTTTATTTTTACAGGGTATAGCAAAATTGTTCACATTCCTTAAACCTTATCACAGTTTATTCTGTGACCTCCAATAATGTCAGAATATTTTAAAGGCATTTTATGCTATAAAAAGTTGGGTGAATATAGAGTATAAGTGCAATGTGCATCTGTATTCAGCCTTTTTTACTCTGGTAGTCTTAAATAAAATCATTTGAAATTGTCTGATGTAATCTGAGAAATTTAAAGCATGAGATTACAAACCATCATAACAAGGTTACATTATATTAGCTCATAAAGTGCTGATAAGTCATTAACTAAAAACTTGTAAAAAACTTGTGAAACTCCAGATATGTTAAGGTTTGGGGGTAGGAATGCGCTGGTGTAGTGCAAGAAAAAAAAATTGTTTCAGAATTGAATCCCGACCCAAAGACCTTGGTAAGACGTAACACAAATAAACACCACAGATGACATTTACATTCACATTTCCAATTATGTGCTACTTAAGCTAAATTGAAAAATACTTAATTCCAAAGGGAATAAATAACTTATATAACTTTATAACTCAATAAAAAATACATGTAATGATTCAAAGAAAAATATCACTTAAATACATTACAGTTTGTTGTTGTAATGTCATCCACTGTTGTTAGTCTCAGGAATGTGAATATTTTTGCAAGTCCCTGTTTGTAATTAAACGAAAATCTGTTACAAGATCCTAAAATTATATATACAATGAATAGATTAGAAATAATTCAGATGAAAGATAAATAATTCTGGGCTAGACACACCAAAAATCAATTAAAACAAATATTAATTCAAACAATTAATTCATTGAAAAGATACCATCTCTTCTCCAGCACTGCTCTCTGTCTCCTTTAGTTTCGAGCTTATTTGAGCTCTCTCCTGCAGCTGCAGGCTTAACTGCAGGAAAGATTCACTAATACGGTCAATTTCTTCCTCTACACATGACATCTGAAGCAAAGGAAAATGGATCATGTATGTAAAGTATACAGGAAATCATGATTATTATCCTTGGTCATTTTCTTCTAATTGTTTATGACATGCAACTTTGTTACCTGCAGTGGTGTCCCATTTGGTGGTAATCCTGCAGAAATTAGACTACATGCTAATAAGTCAACATAAAAAAAAAAAGAAAAAAAATGCTTCATTAAATCTCTGTTGAAAGAATTAACAATTAATGCACAGAGCAGTATGGGGTTGCTTTCCAATAAAATAGTTCCTCTGAGTACTCCCACAGCACTCAATGGTAACATAGTGTACTCAGATGTTGATTCATTTGTTAAAAACGAAAGCTATTAAAGTCATTCAGGAAGTAGTAATTGACTTTCTCTCCATATGGACAATTGCTGAATGATGCTAATAGGTTAAAAGGGAAAAACAAATAAAACAACAAAGAGTCTGATAGTGCAGATGGATTTGTTCATTTGTTGATGATGTGCATTATTCTAATAGATTAATTGAACTTTATTGTTTTCTGAACAAAGGATACTAATACAATAAATACCAGAACTGAACATGGATTGCATGCTCATGTTAAGATATAAAAATCGTTATCTTTTATTTTATTCTTTTTATTTATTTATTTAATTTTGTATGCCTTGTGTAGTGGTTCTTGAGTGGTTCATAAGTGTTAACCTAATGACCAAAATATCCAATTAATAAAATACATCATTAGTTTAACTATGTACTAATAATATATTGACTTGAACTGGCAGTGTTGATGCAAAATGTAATTGCTCAGATTTTAAACAGCAGAGCTAACTTCTCAGAGCTAGCATCTGGTTAGTGGAAGCATCTTAACATATGACTTCCTGCCTTTTATGCTCTGTTTCCAATTTCTTGAAGAATTGAAGATTTTTAAAAGAGATACTCTTTGTCTACTATGACTTCCCCCTTCTTGTTAGAAAGCTAAAGAAACAGAAGGCAGACTGCAAATACTCTTTGTTGCACATTTTATACTATACTACATTGCCAGAAAAAGTTAAGAAAAATTTTACTAGTAATAGTCCTAATGCAAATTATAAAGGCATCTATACATTGAGAAAGAAATGTCTTTTTTTTTTTTTTTCTCCAAGTCCCCTAAAAGTATTTTATATGCATTTTTTTAATAACGTCCAAAATTGGAAGAAAAGAGCAGGCTTATAAAATCATACATTGAGCACTAAAAGCTCCCATACCTGCATTTAAATCTGATCTTTGTTTGAGGTTGCAGACAAAATCCTCCAGTTTAAAATACTTGTATCTCTCTAATCTAAAACAGAAAAAAATGAGAAAAGTTATCATCAAATGAATATAATATCTTCTGCTGTAAGCTTTATTTTTCTCACCAACCTTCTAGCTAATTGGTACTCAGTGAAGCGCGCTTCAGAGGGAACTCTGATATTGAGAAATTGCTCCACTAATGCACTGTGCCGCCCATCTAATGCATCAAAATTAGGCTGAAAAAAGAAGCTATAAAAAGTTATCAGCCTACATTTCAAACTCTGCAAAGATGATGAGTGAGTTTCATGTAGCTCTTACACACCTCTGCTGAGCTCCATTTAAAGGAAAGGTTGAAAAGCTGAAGGCTTATAGTTGAAATGGCCTCATGTAGAGTTTGCAGAAACCTTTGGGGTTTGGATCCTGGATAACAACAATGAAAATTAATCATTCTGCTGCCGAAGAAGATTACATACTTTCTGCTCAAATATGATTGCACAGGCTATAATATTATGCATGGCATTCAGGACTCTCTTGTACTGTTTTATTACCTACTGCTATGTGGGCCATGGACTGCAGAATGATAGCAATAAAGTGCCCCACATGCTGAAGCTTTGACTCTGACAGATAAAGGATTTGATTGGTTGGATCAAAATAGAAGTCCCCTGTGCAATGAGCCAAGAGATTCTCGTTATAGTGAGATGAGCAAAAGGGAACGGACTTTGCCAGTAAAAGAAGCACAGAGGGGAACATGGCGGAATCTGCAAGCAACTGCATCACATGGCAGCCAAACATGTAAACAGCTGAGTGGTGTGGAGACAGGCTATCCAGGGCAGTTGGAATTAGATTTCCATCGTGGTTCTCTTGGATAGGAAGCTCCATTTCTGCCAAAAGAAAAAAAATGTATCAGAGTCTTATGTTTGGGATTATTTGACATTCCTTACCTTGCAAAAACAATCATCCCCCTTGGATTTTTCCCACCAATTTCTCATATTCAAACCCCTTTTCATTCAATAAGTTTAACTGTGCTAGGCTGACAAAAATAGTGCTTAATCCCCATACAGAAAAATAGTCTTGATGTTACTTTTTCTCCACATTTCTCCAAAAAAGACCAAGGAGATGGTGATCGACATCAGGAGAAGTCCCCCACCTCACTCCCACTAGTGAGAAAGGCCACCTCTGTCCTAGGCTGCACTCTGGACTCAGTGGAGGAAGTGTGTGAGAGGTGGGTGCTGGTCAAGCTTATATCCATCATGGACAAAACCTTCAACCCTCTGCACCAGACTGTAGAGGAGCTGAGCAGCTCCTTTAGTGAAAGACTTAACTCCCTGTTTGTAAAAAAAAAAAGCGCTACTGCAGGTCATTAATTCCTGTTGCAACCTAACACTACAATGCAACACAACAATGGCAATAACTTTTGCAATGTATAATGTGCAATCACTATTTATTACCCTGTGCAATAACGTGCTTCTTTATTCTTGATATCCAATGCAATAGCTATATATATAAATGTCCATCTATATAAATAACCATGTAAACACAAAAAAAAAGCAGTCATACGTGGGCGCACTGTATATATTGTATGTATCCCATCAACCTTTTTCTTCCTTTGGCACCTTCTGCTTCTCTATTTAAAGAAAATTTAAATGTCTCCACTGTGAGATCAATAAACTCAATCAATCACTTAATCAATCAATCAATTAAATAATCTGTTTAGTATTTATTGGTGATCCTCTCTCCATTGACCCCTGAAAAATACAGTGTGGAGAATTTGTATCTAGCATAAGAAACTATATTCCTCAATTCAACCAACTCACAGAGCACTGATTGATCGTTGTGTATCACTACAAACTTAGCAAGGCATGGTTGACTACCTAATTAAACAGAGTGGGCAAGAAGAGAATGAATCAGCAAAGCAGAGAAGAGGCCAATGGTTACTCTAGAGTAGCTGAAGAATAGCGCATGTAAAATAAACTACTGTTAATGATGTAAACCAGAAATTCTGTCTGTATGGAAGAGTTGCAACAACAAAATGTTTAATGACAGAAAACATTAGACATTCTGTTCGCAGTTGCTGCAAGCTATGCAGGGCTAGATATAAACATAAGTCCTCTGGTCAGATTTAATTGACACCTTTGGCCTAAGTGCAAAATGCAGGTTCGAAAAAATAATAACAGTGAGTAACCTTTAAGATCACCATAGTGTAGCAAGGTGGTAGCAGTATGCTTTTGCACAACAGAAACATGGAAGCTGGTCAAAGTTGAAGGGAAGATGGAAGAAGCTAAATCCAGCCCAATCTTTAAAGAAATTTTGTTAAAGGCTTGAAAGCCCTTAGAGAAGGGAATAGAAAATTAAATTATGCCCGGGCAAAAAACCCTTAACATCCAATCAGCTCTTCAATGGAACAGTTAATCAAAGCATAATTATGTGTTACTAATGCCTTTCATGTAGAAATTTGCACCACCATCTTTAGGGAATTTGCGAAGAATTGCAAGAATCTGTATTCTGTAGATGTGAAAGGTAAGGGGAGATGCCTCCCCAAGAATTGGCATCTATAATTGCAGCAAAGGATGGTCTACAAACTAAAAACACCTTTTTTCTGTTTTGGAATTATGTACTCTTTTGTATTGGTTTACTGAATAGAATATTAATAACATGTGATGTTCAAGAGGTGACAATACTTTTGCAAGGCACTCTAAACTGTTTATTCTGAAGAAAAAGACAATGTTTTGTACTTGCGCCATTGCAGAGATTCTGATGTGACTCATCCTTGGTGAGCTGCTGTAAGGACTGCAGAATATCTTGCAGAGTTTTGAACAAAGGAGATATGGTTACCAATTTGGATAGATCGTCATCACTGAGACAAGGAGCTGTGGTCTGTTCACAGTCTATAGAACAGAGAAATATTTTTTAGACACATACTAATACTTTGGAAAATAAAAACCTAAGAATGTAAAGATTTGTGTCTAACCTGTCTCATGAGAAGGAGATTCTCTTTTATTCATAGACACTGAGGAAAACTGGGGTCAAATAAAAGAGAAATACACCTTCATATTCTGGTTTAAACAATTTATAAATGTTTCTAAATGTACCTTTGTAAAACACACATTGGTGTCTCCAGGATGCATATATCCAGCCTGAGCCTCACAATCTCTAGAACATGGTAAACCATGCAGATCCTGGTGTTGCCAAGATTCTCCCATCAGCTTGCATAAGAGACCATCAACTGATTTAAGAACAGCTCCCAGTAACGACACATATGCTTCAACTTGGGTGGTGGACATGCCCATTTGTAGGAAAATAAACAGATAACAAACATTTCATAAATTCAATGTATAAATTTAGCAAAATTTTTGTTAGTACATTTCACTAAACTGGTCAAAATGATTAGATAAGAATGATTTAGAGCATTAAATCTGAAGAAAAATAAATAAAAAACACACCTCTTAATATCACTGACTCCCAATAAGTACCAAAGACAGACTTGCAAAACAGACCTCAGCATGATGCTGCCCATCTATGTTTGATAGGTTTTAAGCACATGTAACCTTAATGTTAAAGCCTAATCTTGACTCCTCTAAACATACCCCTTGTTACTGATGCAAACTGATTCTATAACTTTTTTTTTCAAAACACATTTAGTTAATCTAATTGGAAAACTATACATATTGGTTGAGCTGTTGGTGCTTATTTGAAACAGGGCCTCCTTCCTGGTTGGCACCTTGACAGTTCATTAAAATGTAAAACTTATATCACTGGGAAATGGTGGACAAACATCTTCCATGACCACCATGCTCTTAAAGAACAGAACTATAATTAGAGTCAGGAGTTAGGAAGTTAACCAATTTGGTTCCATTCAATCTTTTCTGATAGGACAAGAGCCAGGACTTTAGAATTTGGGGCCAAAAAATGTATTTTTAAATTGCTAAGACACATTAAATGAAGTTTGAGTTGGAGGATATTCCAAGTATTGATCCTGTTAGTATAATCTTGACTGTATGTGGATTAGATACAAGCCACAATGAATTCAAAATGTTTCTTCATGTTTTTTTTTTGGTTTTCTTGTGTGTTAAAACCTTGTCTTAGGAATAAAATGTTGAAATCAATCATTATAAGACCAATAAAAATGTTGCTAATGAGAGATTTAACTATGTGACTACAGCTAGAATAGAAGAGAATAGAAAGTCCATTTATTGTCCCAAAATCTTATGTTGACCTAGTGGCCAGTTTAAATGATGTATCAGATGGAACAACAATGAATATTGCAAATTTAATTTGCCATTCATCAGATTATTTCTTATAGTTAGAAGACCAATTGTAATAGACGGGAATTTGATGATAATAGATTATATCTTTCGATCCAACTTTTATTATCTGTTGGATTTATGTCTTGATGTTTAATAATAATAAAAGCTCATCTTAAAAGATTCCCTCTAGGAGGTTTTCAGATAATATTAATATTTTTTTAGCCTGTAGTCACACGCAGACCACTCGATGAGCCATTACAGTAAAGCCGAAGAGTGTGCCATTATCGCTCACAACAGATGGTTGTGAATGCTGTCTTATGTGCTGTCTTAAGTGTTGTTCATATTTTTTGCAAGAAGAGTGCACATGTTTTAATGCAACAACCACTACTGCAGTATAAAGTGTCAGCAAACAATTTATTCTTCTCTGTTATCCATCAAGTATGAAATGTAATGACAAATTACATAGCGAAAAGATCATCTTTATCTTCTTCTTTTGAAGTATAATAGAGATTTTAAAAAGCTGCACTAAAGTTGCACCAAGACATACAATATGTATCTTAATTGAATAAACCAACATAATGGGAATAATGAATTTAATTGCTGGCTTCTCTATATGTGTCCCACTGCTTTTATAAATGCAAATTATGTCTCTCTTTGTTGATAAAGTAACATGTTTTTATTTTTTATTTTTATTAAAAGCTATTGCACATTTGTTGCCTTATTTAGCTTTACTAATTAATTGATAAGCACATATATTCTTACCTTGCTTGTCACTCTCTCCAATGTAAGTGTGCAACGGTCTGGCGTTCATCGCATTGTGGCCAAGCATCTCTTTAAGGGCACTTAGGTTTTTATAATCCATATTTTCAAAGACATCCTTAAATAATAATGCAGTTTGTTTTATTTTTTTTTCTATATATCCTCAATGCTGACTAACTTATTTGATTAAAAACACAAACAAGTGAATAAACCTTCAGTGATTCAGCCTGATGGCAGATACTCCTATAAAATTCCTGCATGTCTTTGCGATGTCTGGCCAGCTGGGCGGCAATGTGAAGGTTCTGGTCTTCTAGTTTGTCATAAAGAGTCTTCACATTGAACTCCTCCAGATCAAAGCAGCCTGGCACGCTTCCTAAATGTGATAATTAAACGTCAGTCATCGAGAGATTATCTTCTTGGTGCATGGCTGCACTTTGAAGTAAAAACTTTCCTTAATTTGACCACATGTCATTTCACTGAGCTCCCTCTCTCCTTAAATAAATGATATCAGCAAAAGTCATTACAGTCCAATATTACGTATTATTTTCTCTACCGTGTGTCTAATTCAGAAATACGCTGTTAACTAGAAGCTGTCATGCACAATGAACTCATAATAACCAGCCCATTTAAATATCCTATAAAGCTGAATGAATATTACTCACTAGCTGAGCAACATTAGGGCCAGTACTACTATCAGTCAGCAGAGCACACTACCAGACAATTACAAATGAAGTGAAAAATAAATTAGTTGGAAAAGTTATAGAAAAGTGTTTCTGAAGATGCTCTGTTTCTTAAAGAAATACAATTTAATTTACTTGGTCAACTCTTTCATTTTCTCCTTCTTTATCAAACACTATTCTGTATGTTAAATCTATTTAGTTTTGGAACAAAAAGTTGCAGAAAAATGAGACAAACAAAAATTTTACCTCCCTTCAATACTGCAGGCTCCTCGGCTTCTGCTCCCTCACCTACACCACGGCTACCAAGAACGCCACCTTGACTCTGGACTGTTATACTAAAACACATGAATAAAGGAAAGCAGCCTTTTTGAAAATAGCATGTTTAATATCTCTAAAAGACAATTCAGATGTTTTGAGCCATGTTTTGATGGAGTGATATATTGAAAGTCTTTATTTCTGTTAATTTTAATAAATATGGCTTAGAGTTTATTAAAAAGAAAAGAAAGCATTTTATCATTTTCCAAGATAAAAAACAGCATATCAATAGAAATTTGTTTGTAAGGAAAAGTGTAGTTCAGGTGTAGATATAAATAAAGCAAGAATTGAGTGAATTTACTGTTCAATACTATAGCTACAGTTTACTTATTTATAGTCCCACATTTTTTTTAGCATTAATTTAATTAATATGTTTAAGTTTTCACTTATTGTAATTGTAATGCTTATGTTCTCAAGATTATGTACAACCCAAATTCAATCGAAGTGAAAATTACAACACTTATAAATATTAAAACATGTCTAACACCCTAATAATTTAATTAATTGTCTAAAAATAGTTCAATGATTAGGGTATTCCTCTTTCTTTACTGGCATAAAATATGTTGGATTTATAACCCCAAAGAGACAATATGAAGTATTGTTGAGCGGTAGATGAGACACTGGAATCAAGAAAAACACTAACTTTGCAAACTCATCAGCAAAAATAAATACTTGAAATATATCCCTGAGAGTAATAAATATACCCTTTTGAATTGAATTGTCATTGTATCACTGTGAATAATGTAAAGTCAAGTAAAACCCTATGCAAATGCTAAATAGTTTAGTCTTATTAAACCCTGTTAATCAATTTCCATTTTATACATTCAGAGAGCAAAGCAGAGACTTATTAGTATGGAACAAGGTAAGGGGAACTGTGATAAGTTTCCTCACACTAGGAAGGAAATCAGCCTGTCCAGAAGCAGTTAACACAAAGTAATCAGCTAAAGGGACTCATCAGTAATTGTGTTTCTTGGCAAAAAAAAAAAAAAAAAAGCTTATATCAAGCACTTTGTTCCCCCCAGCTGATCAAATGAGTCAACCTCCATAGGTTTCTAACCACCCTTTTGTTATGGATATATTCACATAATAAACTAGGATTAATATGTGAAATATCCGGTCTTAATCTATAATTAGGAACCAATACATTTTTTAACTGAAATTTAAATGAAGCACAAACAAAAAAATTCTGCATTATTTCTTATTGATTAGCTGGAGGGGTAACAGCATGTCAATAGAAGTGGGCATTTGATGATAAGTCAAAAGAAAAATGGCTCCTTGAGATTAACTGCCCCCCAGCAAGCCATTTAGAAACTGGTTTACCACATGCAGGTCTATGTTTCTCATCTCACTATTGACAGTTAAAAAATATATTAAACTATAACTATATGATTATAAACTACAAAATTGAAATCCTATATTATTGAGGTATGTTCTTCCATACACAGAAAAATATATATATTTTTTCCCTCCAGTTTTAAGGTGAAACATAAGGCTTTAGTTGCAGTATACCGTTCTAAGTATAGCAACATTCATATATTATATATTCACATAGTTAAGAGAGTAAATTATTATAATTTTTTTAAGTATTACTTTTTTTTACATTAACAAACCTTTCTCTGCTGCAAACACACTCGGCTGGGCAAAAGGGCTCTCCAAGGCTTCGCCACTTTGGTTTTATCTTCCAGTGGGGGGCGAACTTTGCGTTGCTGGGTCGTAGAACCAGCATGGTTGTGGTCAGGACTACAACTAGGACCAACAGAAGGCTCAGGATCCCTGCACACAGTCAGTGTTCATTTATAGGGAAATATGTTAGGTAAGCATACTAACCCCATTAATCATACTGAAGGGAATCTTGAAAACATATGAACAACTTGCCAGTAATGAGTCCCCAGTCAGGCAGAAGGTTTAGCTGGTGATGTTTTACAATCCCATATTTGACCAAGTGTGCTGGAGTCATAGGTTGAAACGTAGCTGCCCTGGTGTCACATTCTGTCCCTTCCTCACTGACCACCACAACCATGCTCCATTGAGGGACAGCACTGTCCACAAACACATACTTTCCCGCTTCTGAAAAAACATGGGCAAACCTGAGGAGAGCCCCAGAAAGGAGATAAGATTTTAATTTAGATTACATTTTGTTATATTTCGTGTGGAGTCAACATTACATTGAGGAGTTAAAATGTGTTTGCTTCATCAGGATCTGCAGATGTCTGAAGGCTCCAAAGTCCCAGCTTGGGTTACTGTTGAATAGGTGGTCCTTATGGTACACTGGGAAGTGGCTGAGACGGCGGTCTACAGATAAAAAAAGTTAGAATAACAGGAACATAGCTAAAATAAAAAACAAATGAATGCCACTATGATGCCAAATGGATAAAAGCAAAATACCAGTATGGTTGATGGTTAGATGAAAAATTAGCATGTCACCAGAGGAAAGGCAGGATATGGGATTTTGGATTCGAGGTAGGGCATCAGTATTATTCCGATCATAATCCTCTTCAGTGTCTCTCCTTTTTCTAGATCTTGCATTTAAGATAGAATCTGGTTCTGAGAAGAGATACTTGATGAATTTTGGAAGTTCAACATATTTATCATTATGAGATAAATAAGAAGAGTTGAGTGAAGGCTTTGGAAGAAAAATACAGATCCTTTCAAAGGTCATCCATTATGAACATAAATAGGCTTTTTATTTAAATATTCAAACAACTCTTTTTCCAGAGTGGAATAATTATGAACCAAAAAGTTCTATGATTTGTTAGGACAGGATCCGGTTGCAGAAGTTTGTATTACAGCATTTGTTATATAAGTAGATGCTTTAATATTTTCATAGGTTCCTGATATAATGGAGTAAAAAGCCCTTTTGCAAACTCTGTTACATCCCTTTTTTTTGACTGATATATATATATATATATATATATATATATATATATATATATATATATATATATATAATATAATATCAATATGTGTGTGTGTGTATNAAATGGCTTGGCTTTAAGCATTGATTAGAGATTTTCTTAATGAGTCAGAAAATCCATCCTTGAGGCTTATCAGCCTGCTTTAGCCTTTATAAAAACTCTGTGTCTAGGATAACAATCCTCTAACCAAAATAAAAAAAGGAATTAAGCAAGACCAAAAAATAACTACATCGACACACTGAAGAGAATGGCTAAAGTTGATAAAGATTTCATATTTCATAAAGCTTTCTACCAGCTTTTTCTAACAGTTTTACTGTACATTGCATAAATAAAATTGCATAAAATGAAGGAATGGTACACATGAAAAAGAGCTGTTAAATTATTTGTGTTAACTTCAGATGTACGGCTAGATCCTTAAGATTTGGATACAAAGGTTTTGATCCACCAGGATTTGATTCCAAACATACCTCAAAGTGCTTTGTAATGGATCGAGCAGCCTAAGATTATTCTATTGTATACTTTGATCTATCCATCTACAGTAGAATGCCTTTCGGGAGAACGAATGGTGGGTCATTTATCTGCATCTTACTTAAAATGAGCTTAGGAGGATGGGCCTCCAGGTGCCTAGAAACATCAAGACTCCAACTAAAGGTTGCTCCAATGCCAGCCGTCAGAACTCACAAAGACTCCTGCATAGGTGATGTAACAGAAAAAATGAGCCAACCTGGTTGCTTCCAATTTAAGCTTTTGTTTGTCATTACCATGACGAAGATGACGAAACAGTTGCACATGCAAATAATTTAGATTTCAATTAATTAAGAAACATTATAAAAATGTTATTTACATAAAACATATCAAAGCTCAGATATGATAAGTATTTTGATAAACTCTTTTGAGCAGGAGTTGTTACTTCAAAAATAGTTTGTATTCCACCTCCCTTATGAGAAAATTGGTAGTGATGCCAAAAAAGGGAAGTCGAAGAAAATCTGAAGGAAGCTATTGGAGGTGTGGAAGTAAAAACATGCTATTTAACAGTTGTTTAGGCTAGGTTTATTTTAACAAGGACACTTCACTTTTCTTCCTACAAAAGAATGAAACCATTTAAAATGCAGTGAGATATTAAAAGAATGCTTTACACTATAGGAGTGTTTTATGCTTAACTGTAAGGAAATCATTTGCTGAAGTCTGATTGACTGGCAGAGGGTTTGTATGAAGGAACATAAATCAACTGTGGCTTTGCATGTGTAAGCTTAGTTAAAAAACTCTGCATAAAAAGCCATGAGTTAATATGACACTGTGACCATGAATTTCATAATACTGTTCCACTATTGTAAAATTTTACTTTCAATAAAACTATAGGTTGTTGGTGTTTGTGATTTTATATTTTACATCTCATAAAAATTAGGAAAAATACTTAACTAAAGAATACGCCAGAACACTGCAGAACTGCATGAGGACAATTGCCATTTAACCTTTAATCTAACCTTTAACTGTAAGCAAAAACATTGACAAACTCTGCTGATGCTGACTGGTAGAGTTATTAAATTTACATCCAGAATTATGAGTAGGTATATTAATATACTCACTCTGTATAATAAATGTGACTCTAACAATACAGTCCAGTTTATCCATATATTGATTTTAATTTTTTTGAAATAACAGAAACTCTTCCTTTTTTGTTAGCAGCGTTTCGGGAAGGAACTTTCCTAAAATTATTACAGTTTTGCCAATGATAGGTGAATCTAAGCATCCCACTGATCCAATACTCACCTGAAAGGAAAAGATTAACAATGTCTCCATTAAGTGGAATCCAACCAAAGACACCTTCAGATGTAAACTGCATCAAATGTACTTTTCCAGATGTCTGTGCATGGATATCTGGGCCTAAAACATTTGTCACTGTCTGAAAATAGAGGAAAGAAACTGATAAACCAATGGCACTGCAACAATCTGCCATACTTTTCTTAAACAGAAATAATGTTGTAAACATTTTTGTTTTAACAAACAAAAATCACTAAATCATTTAATTTTTAAAACCTTTTTAAATTCCATTTCTAAAACAATGTTGCACTATAATGCATTGTTCTATATTGATATAAAAACTATATTCCTCATTTTGTGAAGGTTAGTACAAAAATTGACCATAGCCCATTGCCATTTCGTTTTGTTAGTTCCCCCAGAATGTAGTAGAAAAAAATAGATTACTGTTTACGTTTTTATAATTGAAGATAAGGAGGGAGAGCAGGAAGAACATAAGTAATTTCCATAATTAAGTAGAAGAACTAACTACTATGTGTTACTATGGCAACTCAGTGCCAACTTATTCTTGTCTTTATCTGTGGATTATTGATGGGTTTGTTTTTTTTTGTTTGGTATATCCTTTTTTTCCCCCTCTGTCTTTGTTTTTTCCCTGACTACTTCATGCATTTGGATCCACAAACTTAGTTGTGTGCTTAGTCAACATTTTTAATAAGACTCTATATTTATTTCTAAATTGAACTAATTTTACCTTACCAAAATACGTGCATATTCATACTGACTGAGGTATCAATCACACACTAAGACTTAGAAACTATTTTGTGTAGTAAATAAACAAATTGTGTTGTTTTTGTCAGAACAAATGCTTATTAACTGGAAATGCAATGCAGCTGGAGCAATTTTCCATCTATTCTGTTAAGAGTCTGGAAAGTTTATTTAGGTAATAATACAATAATAATACAGTCTGAGCTCCATATTTATAATCCTGGTAGTCCATTGTGTCTGTTTTATTCACATCTAGCAGTTTTCACATCTGCACATGCAACAGTTTGCAAATGGTAAATAACTGATTATGATGGGATAATCCGCTGTGATTTAAATCTGCAGCTGATCATCATTTTGTCATTGACTCTATCAGCTTCCTCTCACCATTTTCCAGACTCTGTTGTTTTGTTCTCTAAGGCTCATATGCAAGTCTCCATCCGGCATGAGCTTGGCAGACAGCTGAGGAAGCCTGAAAAGGCAGGAGGTATTGCAAATCTCCTCTGCAGACATATATCGCTCACACAGACAACTGGGACACCAGGAGAGGGGATAGGAGACAAGGCATATCAGACATACTGAGCTAAAAAATACAGTCGAGTTCTCTACGCTGAGATAAGTTTTGAACGGCAATTTACATCGGTAATGTATCAGGGAAAAATAAATAAATAATGAGACTAACATGCCCATCTCTACATCCAGAGTGCCTCCATGTAATCCACAGGTTATATTACAGGAGTGGAGGGATGGTGAGACACACTCCCTGGAGGCTGCTAATCGTACTTCTCCTGTACTACATCGTCTGTTCACCTAGGAAACACAAAACCAAAAGACGCTAACATCAGAGCAGTCTTCAAACACAATGATGTTGCTGTTTGTTGCATCACTGCCACCTTTAGATATGCCCCAGCCAACCTTTAGACACCAAAAAAATCAGTTTTGATGCAAGTATTCAGGTCAAAAAAATATTCTTTAAACCTTTTCTTCACTGACCTCAGGCTGGCAGTCCAATTTACTGTCAGAAGTAGAACTTTTAAAGTCCAGCTCATTGTAGTAGATGAAACCAGTTCTGCATAAACAGGACCCATCAGAATATTGGAAGGCTCGATTCTTCCCAGTGCAGGTACACGTAGAAGACCCTGCAATTATCATTTTGCAATACATAAAGTTGTTTTGGAAAAACAATAACTTCTTATTAGTTTTGACTTGTTACTCAAAGTTTCATCATGTCATGGTTTTTCCTTTTATTACCTGTCAACAAAGTGATTTTATGTCTGTGTTTAGGAAATTAATGTTTAACTTATATTGTGTTGGGCTTCCTTTTGTGTTGGTTCTTTTTCTGTATTATTCCGTGGAAAGGTTGGCTCTGCTCCAGAATTTAACCTCTGGGCAGAGGGCCACCCTTATAGTGTGATGGCTCATTGAGCATGCCAGCTAGTTGTCTGTTTTTATCTTGTTTAAAGAAATTGAAGATCAAAAATAAGAGAAGGAAGAACAATTTATGATATAATGATCAATAGTTCTGTAATTTCACAGAGATTCCTGCAGTACTTAACTATGAAATATAAACAATTTACCTTTATAGTTTAACCCTCTAAACACTGAATTATAACTTTTTCATTCCCTGAACCTTAAATGTTAAAACTTGATATTTAAGGAATAAGGTTTATACTTAACAAACAGTTTTTATTTTATGTATTTTGTATTTGTGTTATCTAACCAGGTAATGAGGTGGAGGAACTGCCACATGGAAAGCAGGCCCTCTGAGCAGGCAGGTGATTGAAGGTGTTGGCAGGACAAGGGTGACAGTCGTTCGTGTCCTCTGCATGAGTCAGGTTACCAAAAGTGCCAGGTGGGCAGGGCTTTGGCTGGGTGTATCCTTTTCCACAGAAATATCCACGAGGGCAGGGATTGCTGTTGTAATTTTCTGTGCCTTGTTAAAGTTGCACAACAAAAAATAGATAAATATTGTAAATCTAAAGGGCAATATGGAATTAGTTTTCTCAGTACCTTTGGGGCAGTAGTATCCCTGTGGACATGGAGCGCACTGCAGACTTGTGGAAAGGTATGGACGATAAGTTCCACCTCCACACAAGCTACAGCTATTGTTTGGTCCTCTGAGGCCGCTGGTACTGACAGGCATGGATCCTCCAGGACAGGATTTCATTGTAGAGCTGTTGGCAGGGCAGTAGTAGGGAAATGGGCATCTGTGGAGTTATGGAACAGGGTTATTTACAAAATGTGCAAAATCTGCTATAAAGATCACATTTCAACAGGCAAAGCTTCTTCTTAATAAAACGTCACATAATGTATTTGGATCTAACTACACTCTTCAGCTTGTTACTCACTTTTGTTTAGGGTTGTCATATGAATATGATCCCTCCGGGCAAATATAACCTTCTGGACATATCTGAGGCTCAGCAGTCTGAGGTCCACAGTACGAGCCAGCTCTGCATAACATCTCTGAAACCGCTCCTGTGGTAGAGTCAAATACTCTCCACATGCACATCTGGATGTGGTTGGAAATTAAAAATTCAAAAAGATACCTACCGATGGGGCACTGATATGAGGCCCTGCAGGGGGTTCCTTCCAGGTTGGGCTTTCCTGTAATGTGAGGGTCAGGGCAGAAGGTTCCCCCTGCACAGGGTTCACACTGGTTGGGTGTAGCAGCTCCAGGAAACAGTCTCCTGGTCCCTGCTGGGCAGAAGATGGGTGGTCCAGTCCCACTGCACCAGAAGCCAGGTGGACAGGGACTGCTGGTATACTCTGTGAGTCCTAGAAAATCCCAAAGTTTTTTTTATTTATTATTTTACTCACATTAAACCAATTAAGCCATTAAAGCAGAAAAACTGTGCTTTTGAACTGCTTAAGGGAACTAAATGATCTTCAGTTATTTTTATCCAGATATTAGCATTAGCCAGTTATATTGTTAACAGTTTCTTACGTACCCATTTTCTAATTCCAACTAATGAAGTAACACATAAATTGTCATAGATAAGCATTTACCCTGTTACACATTTCCTCTCTTTTTTTTCTTTTTTTTTCTTGATTTTTGTCATACACCTAACATTTTTAAGGGAAATGTGCAAAACTCTGGCTAATGTTAGATTTGGCTCTTTGTTTTCCTTCTGGAATCAACAAACTTGATTTGAGAGAAGGGCTTCTAAAACATTTGACTGACCGGTACATTTGAAACAATGAAGAAAAAAAAATCTATTTAGGTTAAACTCCTGAAGGTAAAAATAAATCTGCAGCATCATCATCCTCACAGATTCAGCAGCACTTAAAATGAAGTGATGAATGCCTCAGGGTTCAGACTAAAAAATACGATTGTATCAAGCCTGAAGTTCTTTAGTTGATGTTATTTAAAACGGAGGTCTTTTCAAATCAGAAGAGGAATAGGGAGGGAAACTATCTGCTGAGCATTATTCATTAGCTGGAATTACAATAGGGCTCAATTTCAAGCCTGGAGCTTTTTAAAAAGGGATTAGGAAGTACTTTTTCTTTGGAACTCCACAACTCAATTATTTCTCTGTGGCCTCAAGTGACCAGTTTTAAATTCAGAGCTTTTCCTCACATTGTATTCTTTAACTCTTATTCAAGGCAGTGGCACTGAAAAACATGTATAGGTAGCACATGAATACAAATGATAATTTGCTCTGAATTTATTTAAACTATAAAAGTTACAATTTAAGCCCACTAGAGTAGGGCGTAAATTCAAAGTGGGTTTTATGCATTATTACAATTTAAAAAAGAAGGGGGGTGTATAAGTAAGGTAAAATATCAAAGCCATTCATATAAAAACCATGGCTTTGATTTAAACTTTTAATAAATTATCTGTTGGAAAGCTTTTTTATAGCACCTGTTCTATTGCAGTGTGAACCTGGAGGACAGGGGCGGCAATCACCCTTGCTTCCCGCTCCCGGGGAAGCTCGAAAAGTGAACATAGGACATGGCCGGGGTCCAGTACCACCACTGAAGTCAATTCCAGGCAGACCATCACAGTAATGACCAGCTGGACACAGATGAAGTACTGGGTCTCCTGCGATCAAAGAAACCCTGGACATTAGTGATTTTTTTAAAAAGACTTTAATTTTTTTTTTTTTTCCGCTTTAATTGCTCTAATATGAGTTACAATTAGTCTGTACAATTCTTGTAACTTAACAAATTCCACTGAAAGGTACACAATAATTGCTGTGGATGAAACAAAAGCAAAAAAGTTGCACACATCTGAAACCTGTGTTGGGCAGTGTATTCAGCCTCCATTAATCTCACACCCCTAAATTAGGTGCAATCAATTGTCTTCAGATGTCAAAGAAAATGGTCCACCTGTGTGTTATTTTATAGCCTATCATTAAAGATGAAGAAGTACTGTAAATGTCTAAACAGTTTGATAGAGACCAATATTAAACAAATAGCACCATTAAGACTCAGAAACACAGCAGACATGTCTGGTATAAAGTTGTGGTCAGGTTAAAGCATATGTTGAGGATCAAATCTCAATCATATAAGCAGTCCACCTGGAGCCACATCGACAGCGCGCGCTTAAGCAGCCAATTCAAAGCCCATGGTCTCTTTAGTCGGTGGCCTGCGAGTCCCGTGAAGCGAGACACGCCGGATTCTAACCACCAAAACCCCTCAGGGAAGAGTCTGTGTTCGCCGGCTGAATAAGACTACACCCTGCCTACGGTTCATAGGAGCTGAAACTAGTGACTTGTTTTTCCTGCATATCAAACCAGATTGAATACGCTGATTTGTAAACCAGCCTGCTGAAGCAGATGATAATCTCTCCAGTTCTGGTCTGCCAACAGAAACAAAATAAAGCACTGCATAGTTTCCTTCTGTTTTGTGCATCAGAATAATTCAAGTCTCTTTGAGAGCTGCCTGTTGCATGAACGCACTGTGTTCCTGGGCTGAATCGAGACACACTGCTTCCCCTGAACGTAACCAACTGAACAAAACCAGGCCAAACAAAGCCAAATCCCAGCCCCTCCATTCCACTGAGCTGACAAGTGAACATATTTTTGCCCGCTTTCATCTGATGCTTAATAAATACTCTACTCTTGTGAAAGATACGTAGAATATATACGATTCGTGCTGTGTGTTACTTTCTGATTAATTCCTCCCTTTCATTTGTTTGAAGAGTTAGGCTAGTATGGATGGACTAGCGAGCATTTTTAGCTCTAAGCTAACTCATTGTCAGCACTATTGTAGTAGCCATGCTGTGAATCCTCTATGTAACTATGCTAGTGAAGAATCTCAGTCTTCCAGGTCATAGTCATTCCAAAAAAGTTAAAATCAAACCAATGGACTTTGTTTCCAAGTTCGAAGATGTTTCACTTCCCATCCAGGAACCTTTTTCAATTCAAATGTCAGAAATAGCATTGAGTTGCTTTAAACAGTAGCCCAACAAAGCCTTGTTTTTTTTTTTTGCTTAGACAACATGGAAATTGAAACAGGTCCACCCCTCAGGAATGGGGGTCGCATGGCTTCTTTTGTTAGCCTGCAATTCCCCATGCCTATGTAACTATATATATATATATATATATATATATATATATATATATATATACATGACAAAAGTGGAAAAGGAATAAATCTCTGGCAATCTTATGTCATGAGTCTTTCACCTTTCAATTTAGAAATGAGAGGCCGCTTTCAGGTCCATATAGCAAGCACTAAAATATGCAATTCTGCTGCTTTTACATGCAACAAGCAGATTATGAAATAACAGAAAATGTTCTATTAGGCACAGTTATTATTTAAGGGTGATACTATTTTACATACTTGTTGGTAATCCACTTGTAAAGGTGTGCTGTATAATGTCACCATTTTTGTCTAAATTGTGAAGTTTGCAAGTCACTGTTTTAACTCAAACTGTCAATCTTAACCAGAACTGCAGCATTTTCTTTTATCTCAAAGGGATAAAAAAAATGATTAAATCAAAAAGACTCCATTTTAGAACAAACTGTATATTCATGGCCTTCATTCATTGTCAGAATAGCTCAGTCAAAGTCTCCTGAATACAATAAATATGCTTAAAAAACTGTGCAAAGAAGAATAATCAGCTACTACTTGTTCTTGTTTGTGACAAACACTTTAGACATATTTAAAAAGACTTGAGGCTACACAGCTGTAACACAATGCAGTGAGGCTAAATATAAATGCACATTACAGTTTTCCAATCAAATTTCTTAGAGGAATCAGAAAAGCATGTATTCTTTTTTATTCACTTTAAATAAATGCACTTCCAGCTATAAGATGACCACATTAAACCCCAAGTGCCCCAGTGTTATATAATTTGCAGTTGTAATCTAAAAAAGTTGAGGTATGAATCTGTGTGAGCACCCACCAGCTTTGCACCAATACGCTGGTGGGCAGGGTGAACAGTCCTTTAGACTCATCGCCCCAGAGGAAATGCTGACTGTGTTTGCAGGACATGGATGAGCTTGTTCTGTACCTTGAGGACAATAAAAGCCTAAAAAGAAAAAATAGTACATAAATGATTCGAATTACGAATGGACATTTTTAAGAACCAAAATGATCTTAACAGATTACAGTGCTATATATTGTTTTTGCTGGTGTTTAAAAAAAATTATGCTTAGTACCTGGTGGACACAGGCCTGCACACTGCACGCCCCACTCACAGTGGGTCGTGTTATACGTTGATCCCTGAGGGGTGAAATCTACACTTCCAGAAATGCATAAATATCCTGCAGCACAATCACCCTGGATCTTACCAGCCCTGTGAAAACAGAATTTGTTAAAAATATGAAACTATGGCAGCCAGTAAAATTTGTGTTTGTATTATATAGAACTGTAACATTTTATTTTTGCACTGTATCATTTAATCAGTTATAACAACAGTGCATAATAAGTACATTTATTTATTCACTTAAACTTCTCCATATGATATGGCAGGTATCTTAAACCTTTTGATTTTACATGACTAAAAATTTAAATGGGGGTTTCGTACTTGCCTTCAAGCAAGTGTTGGTGTACATGGGTTGTGCCAGATGGTGTGAGCACATTGAAGTTCTATATATACATGACAGAAAGACATGTGCAAAGCTAGTTCTTACATACAAGCACCAGCTGTTGGATCATTCTAGAGTACCTGCAGTACCTCCCTGGAGGGCAGGGCAAACACTCCTTCTCTTCCTGCAACCCACTCTGGTTTGAATGGGTGTATGTCCCATCAGGGCAGGGGTGGGGAACCATGGTCCCTAAAGAAAAAAGTAACAGAGGAAAATAACAAAAACTATCACCCACATTTCAAACTTTTTAGAGCTTACCTGCAGGGCAAAATGAGTGTGGAGGGCAGGGCCAGGGGTCGCCCACTATGGCTTCTTCACAGAAGAATCCAGGGCGGCACGGGATGCAGTTCTCTGAGCCCGGGTTTGGTTGGTATTCTCCGGTTGGACATGGCAAGGCCATTGCAGATCCTTCAGGACAGAAGTGACCCTAAGATGGAAATGAGAATAAAAGAGATATCAGACGGGAGTCAACTAATCTGACAGGACATTATGAATTAACAATGCTGCATAGGGAAATTTTGAAAAACAGAGAAAAGTAAAAAAAAAATGAAAAAAGTAAAAGAAGAAGTGTACACAAATAAACATACCTTTGGACAAAGAAAGGCATATGGAGTGGTTGAGGAGAAGTCAAATGGACAGTAAAAACCAGCAGAGCATGGGCCACTAGGACTAGCCAGGCCCTCAGAAGAGCAATAGTGGCCAGCAGGACAGGCAATGCAGCTTTCCATGGAAACACCTCCTACAGTCAGAACAAAATCCTTGATGTACTGCACATATTGGTTCAAAACAGATGTCATCAGCTCTCCCAGAGCTTTTTTTTTAACAGGCTGATAGTGATTTCATCAGGTTTGTCGTGTTAAGGCAATACAGAGAAGAACAGAGAAATGTTTTATCTCTCTCCCATGGCTGCAAGAACAGAAACGGCTATCTTTAATGGTTTTGAAGATGTTGCAATTTATTTTTCACCCTTAATCTGAGGAGACCTCTCAATAAGTGGACATATGCAGATCTTCCAGAGTTACTGTGGACGTCCATACTACCTATTGTTTTGTGGCTCTCCATGCTTTGTCTGTAACTAAACATGTTTAATGATCCCTGACTTTCCTGATGTTAAAGCTGGTTAAATATAAAACATACCTTTCCTCAAAAAGTTTTATCAATCTACATGTAGACATATGTAAATCCATGTATCAATGTTCTCTGTCAATAGGAAGGTGTTGGACTATCAAATGAAATACTAATACAATACAATAAAAAATGTGTTTATATAGTAACAGAATTTTGGAAAAGCTCCAGGACAATAAATAAAGGCACTTAAAATGAGGATGTATCCAACAAACTAGTACCAGTTGAATTGCGGACACTTCCAGCAGGGCATTGAACTGGGGTTATGGACCCCGCTGGGCAATAGTGCCCAACAGGACAGGGTCCATTCTTTGGGAAGGTTTCAGAGCTCTCAGGTGTTGGCCCTGTAGCTCCACCTTGGCAAAAGTAGCCCTGCAAACATGGACCTACAAAAAACCCATCAACACTATTAGTTTGATTAACTCAAGTGACTTAAGCATGATTATACTTTAGTTTTAACTTGGAATGACATCAGTGAACATCTTAGTTTGTGCTTTTACCTTGCGGAGTAGAGGCTCCATATGAGCTACAGTACTCTCCAGAAGGACATGGCAAGCAGGCAGAGAGAGAATAAGCTCCTGTTTGGTTATTGAAAGTACCTCTAGGGCATGCCTCAGGCAACCCCGTCCCAGCAGGGCAGAAATGGCCTTAGAATGGAAGAAAATATTTATTGCTGGCAGATTAGTAAAACCTGGATAGCAAAACATAACACAGCTGGACACAAATGAGTAAACAGCTGCAACTATAATGCTGCATCTATAATAATTTATTATGTCCACACCAGTTGGACAGGTAGACGGCTCTTGAGTAGCTGAAGAAGGACACATGGTTCCTCTTAGGCAGAGCTTGCATTGAGCAGCACCGGGGGCGGGACTGTAAGTTCCAGCCTCACAGGGCATTTCACTCACTGCACCAACAGGACAGCTGTGTCCAGCAGGGCAGATGTAGCCATGAGAGTCATCGGATGGAGTGGGACTGGAGCTTCCTCTCAAACACACATAACTGTAGGCAAGAAAAGAAAGATCATATCAAATAAACAATTACAGGACACATAAGAAGAGGCAAAGGCTGACAGTGTGTCATGGTTTTTGTTCCGTTTAAGTTTTCTTTTTGAGTTTTCATTGGTTTTTTCCGTTTTGTGTTGTTCTAGTTGTATAGTTTTTGGTTGTATTTGGGTCAGTCTCCTTCTCCTAGCTCCCTCTATATTCTTGTGTCCACACCTGCTCTCAGTCTGATGATTAGCCAAGTCTTTGTTCAGTCTCCCATATATACTCATCCTCTTCAGTTACTGTTTGCCGGTTCCTTGTCGTTTCTCTGCCCTTAATGTGTGTTTTACCTGACATTTCCTGGATTTTGGCTTGCTGTATTTTGTTTATGTTTGCTTCTGTTGGCCTTTGGAACATTATTAAATCAGCAAAACTCACTGCAGTCACTGCATTTGGGTCCTCAAGTAATTTCCACCACACTTGACACAGTGTGGGTGTGTCCCTCCAGTGTCACACATCTGGTTTGGTCTTAGTGTTATAGCAAAGGACAATTTTCATTCTTCCTCAGGTTCTTCATTTAAAAAGTGATTGTAATCAACTTTACAAAGAAATTTCAGAATGAAGGAAATCGTTGTCAGTATGAAGTTCATTTGAATCTAAACTGTATGTACTTGTGAATTGTGACTTTAGTTTTGAAGTTTTAGAAAAGAATAGAAGTTTTGTAGTTGTGTATATTTTTCCAACTTTCAGTGACAAAAAGTTGTGCTTTTTAAAGAAAAGTAGACAAACTGGGTTTTCTGTTTCAAATATAAAATCTATATTAAAATCAATCGCAATCATAAAATCAATCACAATTTTTTTTACTATATATTTTTTTAACAAAACTACAAATTGGTTAATTCAACTGCTTTAACCTGCTCCAATTAGGGACAAATTCAGCCTTAGAAGTTACACTTTTGCTCTCAGTTCTACAACAGATATGCTGGAGTTGGCCAAAAATGAACTGTGACTTGTGGATATTTCACCTGAGGGTTTTGCCTGCTTGGTTAGTCCGCACCAAACTGGAAATAAACATAGGGCATTACGTAATGTTGACTTCTAAGGACACAGCCATAGACCTTTGAAGGATGCAGATGGGGACCTGGACTAAAGCATCCGCCATCTCCTGGACAGTTTGTGTTGCAACGAGATGTTGGTGGGGAATTGGCAGGCCAGTCCATGGCTTCAATACCTTCATCTTGGAGGAACTTCTACCACAGTCCAGCCCCATACGGTCTAGCATTATCCTGCAGACTACACCAGCATTGGGTCTCAAAAGGGGTCTGAGGATCTCATCTTGGTAGCTGATAGCAGTCATGCTACCTCTGGCGAGCACTTGGTGGGCTGTGCGGCCCTCCAAAGAAATTACACCCACACCATTATTATTGACCCACTGCCAAATCCATCATGCCGAAGGATGTTGCAGCCTGCAGATCGCTCTCCAGACCCTGTTACATGTGGTCAGTGTGAACCTGCTTTCATCTTTAAGGAGCATAGGGTGCAACTGCAAATTTGCCAACACTGGTGTTCTCTGACAGATGCCAAGCTTAATGCATGGTGTCTGGCATTTGGTCATTTTGCAGGGCTGTGGCAGTGCTCCTCCTTGTACAAAGGCGAAGGTAGCAGTCCCTCTGCTTGGTTGTTGCCCTCCTACGGCCTTCTCCACGTTTCCCGGTCTACTGGCCTCCCGGTAGTGCCCCCTGCTACTGGAAATGTTCTTAGCACAGCTCACATTTAAGTGGCACTACCTCAGCCACTTGTTTGGGTTGTAGAGCTCTACCACGAGTAAAATGACCAAAACTGACCAAAACATAAGCCAAAAAGCATAGGTACTGAGAAGTGGTCTGAGTTGTCTACATTGAGTGTCTTGCTAAGTGCCGATAATTTCCACCTATTGTCTACTGCAGTTGAACAACACCATCTAAAATTGATTGCTAACGTATGTTGCTTCCTAAGTGGACAGTTCGATTTTACAGAAGTTTGACTTAATTGAAGTAATAATGTGTTGTTTTAATATGCCCTTGATTTTTTTAGCAATTTATTACATTTTAGGATATTTTTATGTAGCTGTGCTGCATAGGCTATGCTAGCATTTTGACATAATGACACCCGTGTTTGTCTTACTTCCTCCATTACAAACAAACATACATTTAAAGCTGGCAAAAGCTTTTTAATTATTTATCCTGTCCATTTATGCTTCTCCATTCCTCTTTAGCAGTGTTTCTTCAGGCTGTGGTGACAGCCAAGGGAAGAGTTGTACAGTAGTTGGTCCTTATCAGGGAGCCTCAGTGAACCAGCCGACAGCATGGAATGTTTATTATAAAAACTAATTATAAAATATTTCATAGATTAACAAACATGTTCTCTTTGAATCATATTCATTTTGAAAGTTTATATCGGCCGAAGGGAATCTTGACTTGCGTCTAGTAGAGAATCTGGAGGGAGCTAAAGATCAGGGTTATGATAGGGAGTTCTTATCAAACCTCAAAAACTGGAGTTAATCGAGCCCCCATGAATTTCAAAATGCCATTGGAAACACAACGAGATTTTTAACTAATGTAATGACAGTAAATACTTTTTTTTTTTTTTGGAATGATTAAATTGTTTTTGACATAGCACCTTTTAACAACATGTAAAAGGCTTCTTTAAATTAAAACACATTATTTCCTATCTTTTTTATCTATCAGTCAAAGAACAAAATCAGTTCTTCCATATTAAATGATAGATGTTTTAAATGACTTTCATATTTATTTTTAACATTTATTATTTTCAGGTTTTTATTTATTTATTTAAGTTTTGTTTGTAGCACTGTGAGAAACATATGAGCCCTTGTGCAAACCAACAGGTTTGAGAAAGACTCCTGGATAGGTGTTGAAACTACTAAAAAACTGAGCGAAAGTCCGGTTGCCTTCCAATTCAAGCATATTTTGTGGTTGCCATGACCTGGGTGAATGAGAATCTACACAGAAATGAGTTACAACTTTTTTGAGATTGAAAAATGTTGACGTAGAGCTTTGATATCTCAATTGTCTGTTTAGGTGAGTAGCCTTTATATTCTCAATAAACCAGGCTTTGGTGTTAGCTGGGAATCCTGTTTGACTTCTTATTTGTCACTTTTTATAGTTATAATGAAAATACCACTTCATCTGCTTGCTACACAGGTATGCCAGACATATTCCTGATATATGCATTATTAAATTAATGCATTATTGAATTAAAGCATATAAGTTTGATTATTATGTACTAATGTTAAATTATTTTACTGTTTGGGAAACGCATTAGTGACATTAATGAAGTCTTACAAGAAGTGCAAAACATCTGCTTATAAAATAAGTCTGGGTATTTTTATTGAAAAAGTTAAAACGATTCTAAGACAGGATTTCTTTTTAAATAGAAATTTTCAAAATTTTGGGACAATATAGTATGATAAAGAGTACATTTATATACATGTTTAAGCCAGAATAATCTGACATTTAAATATGGCTTCCCTATGACTTTAAATTATTATATTGCTGGATATTACATTTTAAACTGTAAAATCAAATTTTAGATAAACTTTTGTAAAAATGTAAAGAAGAATGTAACAAAAAATTACCCAGCATGACATGGCAAAATGATTGAAAGATCTGAAATTGCAGGTCTGTCACAATACAATCCAGGAGGGCAGGGTGGACATTCTTCCACTGCTTTAAGTCCTTTGGAAATTGCAAGAGAACCAATAGGGCAGGGAAGGGGATGGCGGGTGCCAGATGGGCAGTAATGACCAGACGGACAAACACGGCTGTTGGTTGATATACCCTGGAATGAAAATATGAAACAAACTAAGTAAGCAGTTAATAATTACCACATTGCATTTTATATAAACAGTTATCAAGGTAAATAAAGTACCTTATAAATTTTGTCTGTTTCCTATGTACTATATTACATCAAATCAATATTAATAATGTAAGAACAGAGGGTAACGATCCAAGGAGCCCTTTTGATCCTCTCCCCTACAAATGAAATATCTCTTAAACCAAAAGAACCTACTTACCATTGCAAAGGACATTAGCCATATGCTGTATAATTCCATTATTTTTGTTTTTGTGAATTTTAAAGAATAATTTTTATTCTATCAAATCAAAAATATGTTTCCTTTGATAGAATAAGGTCCGCTCAGTGGAGCAGTGTATAGCACTGCTGCCTTGCAGCAAGAAGGTTCTGGGATTGATTCCCAGCCGGGAAATAGATAAATGGATGATAGAATAAATATGAAGCTGCCAAATCTATGTCATGTTGCCTTAAGGTTTTCCTCCTTTCAGTGTTGTTTATATTCTAACAGCCTTGAATGGTCAGGAATAGAAAAGATTGAAGACTCTTTTAATGTGTTAAATCGAAGAATAAATGTACCAAGGACATTCTTTTAAAAATACATCGGTGAACTGGTGACTTTAGGTGAAATAAGTTTCACCTAAAGTTAAATCTATTTTTAGATTTGTTATGATCTCATAATTTTTTATAAGATTAATGGATAAATATATGTGGAAACATGTAAAATTCACAAGCAACAGAGAAAATCCTAACACCTCATCTGTGGAATTTGGACTGGTTGATCCTGCAGGACAGTAATATCCTTCTTGACACAGACCTGAGGGCTGTGACAGACCAAATTGAAAGCAGAACATTCCTGCAGAAGGAAAACGTAAAAAGCATTGGCATCAGAGTTACTGCATACAAATGATCTATGAAACAAAAAAAGCTAAATATTTTTTTCTAACCAGCAGGGCAGGGACTGCAAGTATCAGGACTGGAGGCTCCGAGTCGACTTTGTACTGTACCAGGTGGGCATGGGTATTCTTGAGCTAAAATCTGCCCTGCAGGACAGTAATGACCAACAGGACAATGTACTGGCTGAACAGTACCTTCATCTAAGACAAAGAAAAAAGAAATAAAATGGAGAAATTCCACCATTTTGCAATAATTTATCTATGTAGTTTGCTAAAAAAAATAATCTGGGTTTAACCATAAAATACTCTTTCACCATCTCTAACGCTAAAGCAATCAACTACCATCAGCTGCTTGACCAAATATATATGAAAGGCGTTTTCAAGAGCAAGTTACTTTGGTGGTTCTAAAAAAGATAATAAATTGAATAGCTCCATCCATTTAACACTTAATCTCTTAATTACAAAATGCTAATTAGTACAAAAACAGTAAATAGTGTTAATAATACTACAGGTTTTATAAACTTGTGGTGTTTTGATTATACTTCAGCCGACATTTCTTTTTGCTACATATTATAACAATCTATTGATTTCTACCTTGACAGTAGTATCCAGGGGTACAGGTGCTGCAGTTGTCTTGATGAGTGTTGCCCAATTCCGAGCTAAATGTTCCCGCAGGACAAGCTAAGAGGACTGGTGTTCCACTGGGGCAAAAGAAACCAGCTGGACACACAGCCTGATCTGCCTTGATGGAACCCCAGTCACAATAAAACCCAGCCTTGCAATAACCTGGTATGGTAAATGGTTTGAATAAATTATCATCAAATTATCCGTCATAACTGTTTATTTAATCAAATGAGATAAATCTTTTATTCCATCTACCTGCTCTAAGCCCTTTTTGGCAGAATATTCCAGGAGGACAGAGAGATCCAGTCCTGTTGTCAGTTGGATTTGGCACCTTTGCACCCATCAGACACAGAAAACCATCAGCACACGATCCCGAAGGCTCAGTCAAACCTTCTGATCCACAGAACTGACCTGCAGGACACATTAAGCATTGACCTGCAAAGTAAAAGAATCAAAGCTGTGACTTTAGTCCCAACAGGAAAACAGGCTACCTCACACACACATTTCATCAGAATATATTTAAAGTGCTTATATATTCTACAAAAGTGTTGGGGTCTCATAATTTCAAAATCTTTCTCCTTACCTGTAGAGATAAGACCCTGGTTGGAGCTGTAGGTTCCATTAGGGCATGGGACAAGCTGACTGTCCAGACCATCTCTGGGACAGATGTGTCCAGCTGGGCAGGGAAGAGGACTGGAGACTCCAAGAGAAGTCCCTCTATTCGGAGAGGGATTTAGAGCCTGGCAGTGGAACCCGGCAGGACAGGGAATACACTCTTTCTGGCCAGATAATTCCTGAAACCATCCTGAAAAAGCATTATTAGAGAAATTATCTAAACTTTAAAGGATGAAAAACTGATACCCTTTGAAATTGGAGCATATGCTGTATTAACCAATGTTTACCAGGCGGACAGGGTTTACAGTCGTCTTTGCTTTTGCTTCCAGGATTGTTCTGGTAAAAACCAGGAGGGCAGGGTAAAGGAACACCGGTGCCTTGTGGACAGTAATGGCCTTCTGGACAAACATCTCCAGATTCACCTGAACTAGGAGAGGCAGATCTAGACCCCTCTAAACAGTAGTAACCTGTGGGAAACACATTTTTGATCAAATTGAATCAAGCTTTTTCAGTCATCTTATAAAATATTATTTGACAACACCATGTGGTGAGTGCTGATTTGTACAGCAGCCAAAAACCTGCCAAAAAATAATTACAGAGAAAATGAGAATGAATATTGTTTCAGGCTGCTTTTCTTTGATTTAATATAAAAATGAATCATTCTGTTATTAAGGCTTTTCAACAATTGTTTTTGGGTCAAAAAATTGGTTGTTTTTATATTTTAATAAAGTATAATGGGAGGGTATTTTTTAAGAAATGTAAAAGATTGTTATTATTATTATGTTTTGAATAAGGAAAATAAAAGTTTAAAGTTAAAGAAAATGGAGAAGTGGAAGGGCCTCCACCCTTAATAAAGGAACTGTCCTCGTGATAAACAGGAGAGGAAGAGTTTGAGAAAGCTGGATAAGAGAGGAAAGAGTTGGTGATAAAAAGGAAGCCACAAGCCTGAAGGGGTAGTCGTTGCCATGTTAGCATCATATAACATTTCTTAAAACAAGTGCATTTGTTCTTGAATTGAGGAGGTAAGTGAGACACTTTGCAAATGGAACAATAAAATTAACATTCAAAATAAGAAAAAAAATTGCATTGTCTTATTTGAAGTGCTTTTATTTAATTATCTTATTTAAAGAGTAGACATGCTCATTCCATTGGCAGATCATCTTATTTAACTGCTCAAATTAAGGGTAAATACACTTAAATTAAGAAATGTTTACTTAGTTCTTGATCATTTTTCCAGTGGCATGGGGGTTCAGTGGCTGTAAATGGGAGCTTGTGAAAAGCATGACATTGATCTAAGGGTTGTTATGGGCTAGACAGAAAGTACACATATCGCGTTGAAGTTTCCCATAGCTGCATTGATTAAAAGAGAGAGTAGTCAGAAGAAGTTGGTTGAATAGTAATTAGCACTTAGTCCTCCCTGAAGTGCTCTGTTCTTCGTCAGCAGGGGAAAAGATATAACAGCGTTAGATGCAGCAGCAAGAAAGAAGAAATCTACCATTCCCTGTGATGTGAGAGAGCTGACCTTGGGTTCCAGTTCTTGTAGCTATTTAGTAAAAAAAGCCAAAGTCTGATAGATCAAGACAGGAATGTACTTTATTGTAGTCTTAAACTTGATCAGTGGATCTGTAGATTGAAGAGGAAGAGCGAAGAGAAATGGGAAAGAGGTTCCGAGAGATGTTCCAAGATGAGCCAGAAGAAAAAGTAGTTCTGGCCCACCAGGGTTTGAAGAGTAATAATTCAAGTTCAGGAATCCAAGTCCAAATAAGGCAGTTGAAAGACAGGCTGAGACTCATGATTAAAGTGAAAAACCAAATTACAAAAGCATGGGTGTGCACAAGATGGGGTTTGACTCTGGAAAGTTGAGGGTAAGAAACTATTCTTTTTAAAGGTCAATCCTTACTACTAAGAGCAAAAGGTTTTGACTCAACGTTTTTGCTCTGCTTATGATTTGAAATTAATTTTGCAGTTTCATCATAGTAAAAGTACAAGCTGTTCATTCCTCAAATGGATTTTGGTGGGTCAAGACAGGTCAAGTACTTTAGTACAGTTTATCCTTATCAGTTGTTCTAAAGACTAAGGGTGAAGACTGAACACTGGCCATCCTGGGGCTGAACAAGTTAGTTTTTCAGGAAAGTCCTGTAGCAATGAAGACAGTTTTCCAAGAAGACTGGCGGTACTTGGGCTGAAGGACTTCATTTCCTAGGAAAAGTCCTGTATAAAAAGGAAAACAGTTTTCCAAGAGGACAGGCCATGCTGGGGGTTAAGAGGTCAGTTTCTTAGCAAAAGTCCTGTAGAAATGAAGACAGTTTTCCAAGAAGACTTGGGGAGAGTGTTGGCCTAGCTGTTAGAGCTGTGTGCTTGTACTTTGAGAAGGTTGCAACTACCCGGTTCGATTAGCACAGCCTCCACTCTGGGTCCCTGAGCAAGACCCTTAATCCCCTACTGCTCCCCGGGTGCCACACAATGTCAGCCGACTGCTCTCCAAGGGGCTGAGTTAAATGCAGAGATAAATTTCTCCATTGTGAGATCAATAAAGTTAAATTATTTTTATTACTATTAGACCAGTAGCTGAAGAAATTTGTTTCTTAGGGTTGTGAGTAAGAAACTTCACCACTAAGAGAATGTAAATGTTTTTCTTAATGGAAGCTTGCAAATACACTTAATTTAAGAATAATAAGAAGAACTTTGTGTTTGTTCCTTTAACCTAAATTGACTCTCAATTTGGGTTAGAGTCAGCATATGTAGTCTTAGAATGGTACAATAATTGGTTTATTGATTTTTTAATCTTGCTGAAATGCTGCTGGAATCAACCTCTGCTAGAGCATACCCATAAAGCATGTTAAAATGTATATAGGGGTGTATACAACACATCTTTGAACCACATTTGTAAGGGTAAGTTCTTGAATGGTGTAAAATACATGTATGAACACGGTTCTTAGGTATACTTCGAGGTCTGGCAGGTTTGCTGTAAGGCCGAATTTTGTCATAAACCAAAGAGACGGTAAAAGGAGGTAGTCCCGGCTGCTAAATTATCTGATTCAGTTGTTAAAAAAGGGTTTAGGTTTGGGAAGGAGACATTTAGCACACATCTAGGCTCAAAGTCTGCGAATCCAGGTTGGTTTAAGAGTCTGAGCTCAAGTGGAAGTGAGGAATGGAGGGGCTGTTGATTTATTATTGCACAGTCACAAAACCAAAAAGTGCCCTTAGGGGTGTAAGCGTGGGAATGTGTGAATGTGACTCGATGAGTGTAAATTTTTTTTTTTGACTCGTCAGGTTGTGTCCCCCCCCCCCACAATATTTAGATATTGTTTATCTAAATGTTGGACATTTTACATTTTGTGTTGTAAGACTACACTGATGCAATAAAACATCAGTTTATTTATTTATTTTGATTTTTTTTAGATGTAAGCACATCTTCAGTTGTGGCAAAAAGTCTGAAGGAAACCACGTTTACCTGGGAGGCAGGGTCCAGAGACTGAAGAGAGACCAGGTTCTGAACAGTAAAATCCAGGACAGCAGCTTTGACACTGAGAACTGTTTGCCAGCCCACGGAGTTTACTGTCCCAAATATTTCAAAACACAGAAGGAGTTGATAATATTATACACAGAAATAAAGGCTAACATGTTCACCTATATACTAAAAAAACAGATCACAAAATGGTTGAAAGTGAAATTACTTGGAGATACTAAAGAGAATGCAAATATTTAAAACAGGTTAAAACAGCTTAAAATGAAGTTTATGCTCAGATCATATTTTTTCCAGATAATATTTTATGTAGAAAGAAAAAACACAGAAAGATTTGGCTAGTACAAAGTGATACAGCTAAATTTGTACCTGTATGTTCCTTTAGGGCAAGGTTTTGGTACTAAAGTTCCCATGGGGCAGTAATACCCAGAAGGGCATTGGAATCCCGTCAGATTGTCTGCTGGCGAATGTTCAGAGGCTCCTTCAATACAAATGTAGCCCTCAGCACAAAGCCCGCTGGGAACAGTTCTCCCTGAAAGTGCACTTCTTTTTAATTTATTTATTCTTTTAATTGAACGATACAAATAATAGTTTTTAGCGCCTTATTCAAATTGTACCAGACTGTTTGAATTTTCAACACATTTATAGTGGGCATCAATGTCACAACAAGTCCATATTCAATGTAATTTTTCTTACTGCTTTTAACCTTTTTTTATTAAAAAATATAATGATGCTCATTAAAACTTGTTAGATGATCTGTAATTTCTAATGGTAGGAGAGGTCAAACATGTTTTTACTTTAGCCTGTAAACATAATAATGCAAAAATGGCAATTTAAATAAGTCAACTTTTCTTTAAATAAGTGCATCTGTCTTGAATTGAGGAAGTAAGGGAAACCCTTTGCCAATGGAACAAGACTTACATTTAAGATTTTAAAATAAGAAAAAACAATTACATTGTTGTATTTCAAGTGCATATTTTCTAGCTATTATTTTAAGAGTAAAAACAATCATCCCATTGGGAAATCATCATATTTGCCTACTCAAATTATGGGTAAATAGACTTAATTTAAGACAGTTTTACTTATTTGTAGTTCGTTTTGGCAGTGCATATTAACCCTGTGTGGATAAGAGAAAATCAAGCAAAAATGGAAAATTGTGTGCCCGTTTTTGTTCTTTAATTCAGTTGGATGTTGAATGCAGTTGGATGTTAAATAGTTATTCTACTCAGAAAAATGTCTAAATAATTCTTATAAAGCTTAAACATGACAGTCATGCTTCTGATTAGTTGTAAACATCTACACTGGCATTGTAACTTTTTGCACAGTGTAATACTCTGACATTAAGAGGAATGTCTCCATATTACCTGTTCCTTTGCAGTACATGCCAGGGTCACATGGCGTGCACTGGAACTTCTCTGCAAGTCCTGACACGTTTCCATAGGTCCCTGAGGGACAGGGGCGTGGATTCACTGATGCAGGGGGGCAGTAAAATCCCCTTTTACAGGGAAGTGGATGACTCATTCCTGATGTGTTGATGCATAGATTCCAAATGAAACAGTTACTTCCTTAAAGCTCATGTTATCAGCTGCCGAAAGCAGATTCATACAATTTATTAGTTACCCTGATCTTGACAGTAGAAACTTGGGGGACATGTTTCACAGGTCCCTTGGCCTTGTCTCTGCTGGTAACTGCCAGGATTGCAAGGTGTCTGCCTCACACTGCCCTGAAATTAATTATTATGAATTATTCAAAATACTTTTCACCTGCTGAGCAGGTCCTATCAACAGTAATAACTGCAGAGCACGTGAAGAGTAGAGACAGATATGGCACAAGGTGAAACCAGAGATAGTTTTAACCGAGTCGGGAGACACAAGGTGAAACCAGAAATAGTCTTTACCGAGTCGGGAGACATTAAGTGACTTCAGCATGCAATAACGTGCGTGTCATACCAAGGTATGCTTTCATGGAAAGCTCATGCAAAATTCAGTAGTGATGACTGACAAGAGCTTGAGGACTAATGGAGCATGACTGACCTTCTCACAATAATGTCCCAGTGAGCAGACATGTAGTTGTGGTCTTTGAGAACTCTGTCCTTCAGGACAATAGTAGCCTTCTGCACAGTGGCCACTCGGCTCAGTCTGCCCTTCCTTAGCGCAGTAGTGACCTGGAGGACACAGCTTACATGTCTCCACTGTGGATCCACCGAGGGAATCTAGTGTTTAACGAACAACAATGGTACAGTGAGAGAAAAAATTTATTAAACAATGACTAAAGTAAATGTGAAGCCTTTCAAAAGTATCAATTAACAAATGAAGTCACAACAAAATCATAAAAACAATACATTTTCCAGAGGTTTCTGTGTCAGGACAACATAATACATTGATATTTTACAAAAATACTTCAAGGAAATACTTAATAAAAATTATGAATGTAGTCCACATAATTAGTCTCAATAAAAGAGAATCTAGAAGGACAATGATGAAAGGGACCCACGGGGAGTGGTTTTTGTGCTTCTAGCCATATTGCCTGGGCTACTGCACCCAACAATTACATGTTTTCCCTGTATTGATAATACAGTTAGCCCTGTTTTTCAAACATTAACTCTGTCTCTCTATTAAGAGAGTTATGTGCTAAATGTTCATTACAACTAACTATACGTGCATCAAGTGTTGCTCAACAAAATTTTAGTTTGGGCGCTCCATAACGCTTGTTTACTTCCTTAATTTATTAGTAGCTAACTACCGCTACTGCGGTCAATAATGATCAAAATCAATGTCATGATTTCTATTTTTTTTTTTATCATTTTTATTTATTATTAATTTTTCAATTTCAATTCATTTTACTGGCAACTGTGGGTTTTTTTCTGTCTCTATTAGAAGGCTATATAAACTTTCAATCACATCCGGATATTTATATGTTATGAAGATTTTTCATCAACTAATATGCCGATGACTCTGTTTAGCCAAACCACATCCACCATGCCTACATTAAAGAAAAAGGAGCGAATACAGACAGCTGAGTTTTTCAGCTGAACTAATCTTAAATCACTTTGCATGTTGAAATAATTACAGCATTAAAGTAAATAAAAACATAATACAAATGCAAACTACAAAGTAGCTGTTTCCTTATCTGTTTCTAATTCATAGTGGCACAAATAAGCTACGGCAAACTCTTAATGAGCCTGGAGTTGTCTGTCGCAAGACAAGAATATGATTACACAATTAAACCATTTTGTGACAATTATTTATGAGCACCCAAAGGAGACAAAATATGCCTCAGTGGAGGTTTTCATATTTTCCCACATCAGTGAGCCAGACAGACATCCAAGGGTAACACTGCAAAGAAATTATAACAATTTCAGCAAAGTGGATCAGTTTTCTTTTTAACTCGGCTCCGGTTTGTGTCAGAATACTGTTCATCTCAGAAAGTCAAGAGATTACTGACTAATTTTAAAAAGCTGTAACACAGAGCCCAAAAAACTATCAAAACACATTTGATTAAGTTGATGAAATCATTTTAGCTATATTAAAAAATATCTCACTTTTAATGGATCCTATAGGGCAGGGGATTGGAAGTGGTGTTCCAACTGGGCAGTAGTGTCCGAAGGGGCAGGGGTTGACAAAAGAGTCAGAGGAGCCCCAAGGACAGTAATAACCAGCTATGCAGGGCCCCGTTGGTGCATCTAGACCAGTTTGGTTACAGTAAAATCCAACATCACACAGCTTAGGGTAAGCAGATCCAGAAGGACAATAGAAACCTGAAAAAAATGGCAACAGAAACGGTCAACAGAAATATGAAACTCAAACTAGAAAATCTTAAACTTATTAGGATTATCTTTGTTATGCAAACAATCTTCATAAGCATAGTTATGTTCCGTTTTCATTTACTTAAAAAAAGGTATTCTTATTTTTGAATTCTAAAGAGTCCCCTTGTTATTTCAGAGCACTAATTACTTTGCTAAAGGATTTCCAATATGTTCTTTTATGGGCTAAGATGAAAAACTACTTTATAGTCATTTAATGTACTTTATCATAGTGCCTCTTTCCAAGAGGTAGATAGAAAAGAAGATGTCAGACTTTCAGATCTTTAAATGAAGGTAATGGGAAGAGTGAGGTCCCATTAGCTTAAGAGGAAACTCAGCTTGCATTGGAATCAGCATCTTAAGCTGCTAGGGCCAAGATACATTAAAGATTGTTTAATGATGGCAAGTGCAACAAAATTGTAAGACTTTTGAGAAATGTTTCTTAATAACAATGTATTAAAAAGTAAGTACTTTTGCTTTAAATGAACATGTCATAACATAACACTTTCTGAAAATGTTTGAAATTACAGAATTATAGACATAAACTAATGATCTGATGCAATTTGCAATTACAGTGACAAGGACATAAGATAAAAATGTCTGCAGCCTAAGGTATAAGAAAGTTACTTTAGAGCACACATTCACTGTCTGAATTTACACACCCTTAGGACATATATCTCCTTTGTAGGTGGAACATGCATAATGTGGACTCTTGAGATGTTCTGCTGAGTGATTCACATTGTTATCCAAATGTGCCCGTGGCACAGCATCTACTTTGATCCAGGTAGTGTTTCTCCTTGCAGCTGAACATGGCAGACAGAACATTTTTACAGTTACATCTTTATAAACAGACAGTACACAGGCAGAAACAGTGTTTATTTCTTAACATGAAAATAGTTTATTTGTTTGAATGGTTCACTTTTGAGCCGAAAAAACATAGGATCTTTAAAGTTCAAAACATACGAAAATCACATTCAGCCTTACTATTTCTTATTTTATCAAATCCTTTTTTGCAAACAGAACCACTGGACCTTAGCCACTCTTAACCCTTTAAAACCAATTGTATCATATTTGATACATGATTTTTTGAGGACTTTGCATCATCAATTTGATCTTGCTGATCTTAGAAACCCTGACTTACACAATCAGACACATGTAATTAACAGAAAACATATATAAGATTCTACAGAAATGCCTATGTATCAAAATTGATGCAAATAAATAATCTAATTTAACTTATACAATAAATATATATATATATATATATATATATATATATATATATATATAT